TTTGCCATTTACTAACAAATCCTCCCAAAAAAGAGGAAATATTAAACAGGCGCCACTCAGTTTGGACTGCAACCCCTTGACATGTCAGACAAAGTTCTGTGCAGCCTTGAGTTCGCTACCCTGACGTAAGCCACCATTTTCAAGAATTTTTGAATTCTATAAAACCTGAATTATGTCCTTTCCCTCTGGTCGTTTTCTTGCAGATGTTTCATGACCCAGATAATGTCATCGTTATCTAGATAATTATCATCAGTGCTCAGAGATCACCAAGGACCTCTTCATTTCAACCCTGGGCAGCAAATATTCTCCTTTATTGGCAAGTTGTGAATGTTCCAACACTGGAGCTTTTTAAGAAGAGATTGGGCAACCATTTGTCTGAAATAGTATGAGATTTCCTGTCTGAGCAGGGGGTTGGACTAGAAGACCTCCAAAGTCCCTTCCAACTCTGTTATTCTGTTATCCTTCAAGTAAATCTGTGGAAGACTGCAGGCCAGCTCTTTGATGAGTCCATGCTTTCTCACCTTCAAGCCCCCCTTTTTTCAATCTCTTCCTTCCTCGTACCCTCTTTTTCTCCCCGCTCCTTTCTGGACCTTCTGTCTATAGCCAGAAGCCTGAAAACAAGCATGGCCAATGAGGAATGCCACAAATTATACAGCTCAGCAACTTCTGGAGAATTTCTGATCTCCCAACCAACAAAAAGCCTATTGAAATGTCTCATTTGTAATTGGTGTACAGTTGAGGTTTTGCATCCAGGAGCAGCAGCCTTCTTAATTCAGAACTTAAGGTCAGAAGAGAGCCCTGTTTCATTCTACCTTCTCTTCCAAGAATAACTACTAAGATACTTCTGGGATGCGTACAGGAATTTAAATGAAACCAGCTCCACTTTTTCCTTCTGTTTGCTATGACAGCAACGTGTGATCGAGGCTCTGAAAATAATGCTTCTTTACCTTCCCAGCAACAAACGGCACATCACCCAGTCGTAGCCTGTAGTGGGGCTGGGAATGGAAATGGGTCATTCCAGAGTCATTCTAAGGGAGAGAGGAGAAGGTTTTTTTTCCAGAGAAAGAATTATGCCAGATTCAATTCTGCTCAAATGAAATCCATACAGCTGGTAATTAAATGAGATCAGATCTCTCATACTTGCATTAAAGCCTTGAGAGCAAACCAAATAACGTAGCATAAACCACGGCTGCTTCTTAAAAACCTTGTGAAACAAGAGGTTTCTTTTAGCGTTTGTTTTAAGAGGAATGTTTCTTATAATGAGAGTTGGAAAAACAATCCAAGGTGATGTTTGTATCTGTTGGAAGAATGACATCCAGCTAAGGCGAGGAGCTATCCCCAATGAGTCAGAATTCATTACATAAAACAGTGAAGCCTAATTCAGGGAGTTCCTGGCTGAGTTATTCCTGAACAATAGAAATCGATTAAGACTCACAGATCATTGCATTTGGTTACCCATAAAAGACTTAGTAAGGAGACTTTATGATATTTTGCTTAACAGGCTGGATAATCTCAATGGTATTTTTGTAGAAACATTTTGAGAATCAATTTGCTCTTAAACAAAAGTGCAAGGCTGGCCACCTCATTTACAAATAAAGGGTTCAGGTTACATATAATCATCCTTGTAAAACATGTAAAATTCTATCATCTGACACAGAATTTAAGAGTGCAAAAATCCCTCCACTAAATGAAACCAAACTACCTATTTCAGAATTCAGTTTCCAGCAGCTACAGGGCAGGTTCTTTCAGAAGTTAAAAACAAGGAGGCGATCATTCTTTGTTTTCTTGCTAAAAATTTTAGAGTGGAAGCTCTGTTTGATTATCAGAGCTATTAACAAGCCATGTTGGATCACTTTTGAAATTTCACTGAATATGTTGGGTTTGATCTTTAAAGCTCCACATTATTTTCAGGCCCAGGCATTCCACACATAACTTTCTTCACACTTTATCAGTGGAACATGCCATTAGTTAGCCAAGTCCTTGATCCAAAGACCACTAGTGAATGAAGTGTGTCTGGTAATCCCTTCAAAATAATATTTTCTCAGGAATGGAACCTTAGAATTTAATACCAATGGGATTAAAATAATCATGATTTACTTGTCCCTTTTTGTTTCTAAACTCAAGTACGTTTATTACATTTATACAATTCATTAATGCCCAAGCAGTAACAGTCCTATTTCATGAATCTAACAAGAATGTTATTAAGAATCCAATCCTACTGACTTCCCTAAGATTCCTGAGCAACAATTTATAAGATTGCAAGCAAGTAGCCTCCACCTACCTTCTCCAACTGCTTTGATTTTTTTTTCATCTTTTTGGGTTTTGGAGGCATCAAGACTGGTGCTGGCTGGGTCTGGGCCTGAAGCAATCTTCTATTTGTCTCCAATCCTGTCTGAAGCTGCAAGGTAAATCTGGGAATTATTTTATTTTATCACAATAACAGAACCTGACACTTGGTGATGAACCAATCCAGAAACGAGCCTTTCCTTGGCTTATCAATTTGGTTCCCTAAAAATGGGATTCTACAAAAATTGAATTCCAGAATGATTTTTCTCCCAGTCAGGCATTTGGGACCTCAGCTAAGGAAGAGAGGGAAGATATACTTGCAGGAAAGAGAAAAGTTAACACACCCCAATCTCCCTTTCCTGTCGCTTTTTAGTTCATTGGAGAGTTGGATGTTCTCTATTATATTACCGTTTAGTCTTCATTTTCCCAAATGGTGTTAGAAATTTGGGAGCAATGGAGTCAGACTTCTGAAAAAAAAATCTACTATGTTTCCAGATTAACAGGGTGGCATGGTGGCTCAGTGGTTAAGACACTAGGCTTGTTGGCTGAAAAGTCGGCAGCTCAGGTTCGAAATCTGAGCATCATGCAACAGGGTGAGCTCCCTTCCTTGCACCAGCTCCTGCCAAACTAGCAGTTCAAAAGCATGCAGAGGTGGGTAGATACACAGGTATCACTTCAGTGGGAAAGTAACAGTGTCATGCTGGTCTTATAATTATGGAAATGTCTTCTGACAGCTCAATGGCTTTGAAATGGAGATGAGCATCGTCCCCTATAGCCGACAATGATTAGCGGAGTAAAATCTGCAGGAACTCCTTTACCTTTTCTTTTCCAGCTTAATATGTTGTTATGATCCCAATTTTTGTAGTTTGTAGTTTAGCACAAGTAATTCACCTTGAATGTAACTAATGAACAACTGTTTTATTACCCAATATGAAGGAATTGTATTGTTAAATCTCTCTGCCTTTTAACTTTGCAATTGTTCCTATGAACTCTGTTTTAACTGTTTTTAATTTTGTTTTAACTGTCTTTTATATGCTGTCATTTTCTTTGTAAACCACCTAGAGTCATACAAGTGTGAATGGGTGGTATAGAAATTTTACAAATAAATAAATAAACAAACAAATTTGACACAATACAGTTTGCTGTTTTCCAAGCAAAGCATCTGAGGTCTTGATCCTACTTGGTGGACTGATAGATCATACAATTAAGTCTTGTGTAAAGTGGATAATTTTGCAATAGTTGCTGAAGCAATGCACAAACTTCCCAGTTCTCCAGGATCCTTTCCTCAGCATCTCATTGACAGACAAGAGCCCAGGTGAACAGGATTTACCTCAGCAGCTTTTTCCTGTACCAGCTTTCGAGCCCGTTCTTCCTCCTGGAGCTTCTCTTCCAATTCTTTCATTTTTTTCTGTTTTAAAATATTAAAAGCAGGACAATCGCAGGCAAAACGTTACTGTGCCGCCCTGGATGGGATGCCGTGTGGCCGATTCAAATCATAATCTGACTGACTTCCCTTTTAAGAAAAGCAGAACGGGTTAGCCCTTGACTCATGACCGCAATAGAACCTGCCCATTATGATCACAAGTCATGACGGTCATTAAGCGAGACAACCACATGATTGCCTCTCTTAATGGCTCCCTCCATCCCTGCTCTCCCCGACGCAGTTAAGCAACTATGCAAGTTAAGGGGAGGATCGGGTGCCTTAGAAATGGGGGAGGCTTTGTACAGGCCCAGGCCTGCCTCCCCTGGGGTTCTCAAAACTTCACCTCCGGGACCGCCTGTGCTCTGCTTCTCCACATGTCTTAGGGACCCTGCAAGCCTTGGGGCTAATCCCCCCGCTACCCAACCAGGTTCTTTAATTAATAATTTGTTTGTAGATAAGAGATGAGGTATGGGAAGAAAAAGTATTTTGTTAAAATGTCAACAAAGGTGATAAGTTACTGGTGTGGTTTGTACTTGTCTTGACGAAGGGGAAAGTTATTTCTTTGTATATCTTTATTTTTTTATTTTTCTCTGCACTTGTTCTTTTTATGTTTTTCTTAGCTTGTATTAGTTTTGTTTAATCTTTATTTTAAAGACCGTAGAACTGTCATAATATGTATAGTTGTAAACTCCCAGATTTCTCAGCACTTGAATTTGCTAAATGGAGAATTCTAAGTTACTCAGTGCATCTTGTGGATGCCTAGGTTGAGAAGGCCGATATACAGAATTCTATTATCAAAACTGAACATTTGATGAAAAGGTTGAGGATTACATTAGTACAGATCTTGCGACCCACAATGAGCAGAGGCCCAGGTCTCACCTCCGCAAGAGACTGCATTGAAGTGAGCCGCGTGTATTCATTCTCAAGCAGATCCAACCTCTCCAACTTGGACTTCACATGGGAATGATCAACGACCTTCTCTTTTTCCAATGTGGCCTGGAAAAAAAAATGAAAGAGAGAAACAAAATACTTTGTGTCATGGAGAAGAAAGAGGCAGCTCACTTAAATTGCCTTCTGCCACTTGATGTCACAAAAGGAGGGAAAGTTCAAAACAATCAACCACATTTGCATTTCTCTGAAAAGAGCAATTTAAAAAAAAATTCTTGGACATAAATAAAATGTTTCCAAGAACTCAGCTTCAAAATTATATTCTATGGCTAAACACTGACATTTTTGTCCGGGGACTATCTTTGGCCAAAGATGTGGCAAAGTAGTTCTTAGACAATACAGTTTTAGACTATAAGCAGGAAAATAGATATTGTTGACAAAGATAATCCTAGGATAGTCTTTCAGCCATCTGACGTGCTACATGATAGTCTATTAATATACTCCAGGGGTAGAAAACACAATGCCCACCAGATTCCCTTGTCATTTTTTTTCCAGCTTCCTTCAATCATCCTCTTGATTACCAAGAATATCTTTCAACTCTACAGGTTCAATTCCCAACCTCTCCCAGATCTCATGGCTAATCTTATAAATTAAAATACACAGATTTGGTGGATGTCCCTCTATGTTGGGAAATGCTGGTCTACTGAACTCAGCAGCTTTATGAAAGTTGCTGATCCCTATAGCTAGCATTTGAGTTAATTTATAACTCATCTGAGGTAAATTATAGCTATCAGGATTCATAACCACTAGCATCCTGCCCCAATCACTCTATTCCCTTTACAGCCAACTAAATGAGGACCTTGACAAATAGCGTGATAGCAAATTCTGTAAGCCAGGAAGTTTTAAAAGATGCTGTGGTTGCTGGCAACTTTTCTGGAACCTATAGATCAGGGTTATATTGATTGATTGATTGATTGATTATTTACTTATAGGTAGTCCTCAACTTACACAATTGAGCCCAAAATGTATGTTGTTAAGTGAGAAATTAGCTTTTTAAGTGAGTTTGCTTGCTCCATTTTACAACTTTTCTCACCTCATTTGTTAAGTGAATCACTGTGGTTTTTAAATTAGTCACACGGTTGTTAAGTGAAATCTGGTTTTACCCATTGACTTTGCTTATCAGAAGTCCACAAAAGGAGATCGCATGTCTCCGGGACACTCCAACCGTCATAAATGTGAATCAGTTGCCAAGCCTCCGAATGTAAATCACATGATCATGGGTCATTAAGTGTCAAAAATCATTACGGTCATTAAATGTCAAAAATAGTCAAAAGTCACTTTTTTCAGTGCTGTTGCAACTTTGAACAGTCACTAAATGAACTGCTATAAATCGAGGACTACCTGTATTTATTTGTTTGTTTGTTTAATCCATTTTTCATAAATAACTCAAGATGGCAAAGGTAGCTAATGCTCTTTCTATTACTTTCCTCACAACAGCCCTATGAAATGGGTTGGGCTGAGAATGACTGGTCCAAAGTCACCCAGCCTGCTCGCCTGCCTCTAGCAGGACTAGAACTCACAGTCTTCCAGTTTCTAGCCTGGTCCCTTAACCACTGGACCAACCAGAAACTCAAATCACTAGAACTAAAAAAGCCCAGGTACCTGTTTCTCCAAGACGGTCGATTTTTCAAGTTCTGCCTGCGCTATCATTTCCTTCATGTATTCCAGCTGTTTCTCCAGAAGTACGCAGCGAGTCTCGGCTGCTGCCAGTTGGGCTGCCAACTCTGGAGGCAGGGCAGCAAAAGAAAACAGATATGAAACTAACATGAACCAGATTTGTTGCTGCAAATCTTCTCTTTAAAAGTTACTGTTTTCAAACAAAAGGGACAAGGAGGTTCATACTCCAACATTGAATGGGTCTCAATGGGTCTTAACTATTCCAATGGCTGCATTCAGGTACAAAACTGGCTCTTTGAAACCAGTACATGGGAAGAGCAGGAGGAATATCCAACTCAAACATCCAATCGTCATCAACGTAATTTAATAATCCTACAATCCCTTGCGGGGTGGAGTCTGGGCAACTGAATGGAGCTAGCAGAGTGTTTTAATGGCCGGATGCCCTTCCTGTCACCAATGTGGAGAGCAGCGTTCAGCAGATATATTCTCATTGTGCTGGAGAGAGAAATATCTGCTTCTACCTAGGATCGAACTCACAGCCTCCTGATTGTGAGGTGAGAGCTCCATCTCTAGGCCACTGTACCACTCTCAACTCGAACACCCAACGATGTGTCAAAAATAAGAAGCATGCATCTAGAGATATCCAGCAGACCTATGCTACTTTACATCTACTGCCCAAGGTGCTTAGACCAGCCACAAATGTATCTCGGTATGGAACAGAAGGGTAGAGATCATGGTGCTGCTGAACCTGATCATGTATCTGCTTTAGCCAAAGACTGATTAATGGCAACCTGATAGAGACGTCTGCCAGTTCTTCAGTAACCATGACACAACTGAATAACTAGGCTGCTTTTGGAACTGGACCACTCATTCTAGTTCCAGAAGGTGTAGTGGCTATACAATCAGAGAACAGTCCATTCTAGCTGCAGCTCTCCCGAACAGTATATTTTCGTCATAGTAATTCTCAATGTTTTTCCAGGGGTTCTTAGAAAATTATCAATTTTAAAAAATGTACTACTAGATATGCTGAAAAATAATTTACCCCTTTCGGTGGAATTTCTTTTATAAGTTGGAAGGAATCAGGCCCTTCTCGATGTATGGCCAAAACATTTAATGCTTCTTTCTGAAGTTTTAAGGGCAAAAGAGGTATTGTGCCTTATACCCCTTAAGCCCCCAGCTGCTCCCAAATCAGAGTTACTGATCCTATTTTGGGATGAGTGTTAAGTTTCTGTCCAACTTAAAGCAACCATTCACCTTTAAACAACTTCTCTTTTAATGCTGCTTTCCCCTCCTATTTCTAAGACAAGGACCAATTAATGTCAGGTAACAATCAGACACCATTGTGCCTGCCTGATATGTGTGAACACTATGGCCCAAAGAACCAACCAGCCATACATCTTCGTATTCTTATTTTTTGCCTGCATCAGATATCATCAGAGATCCCTTGACTATTGGTTGCAAATATTTGCACTGAGCTACTTGCAACCCACAAATATTCTTAATGTTTACCTAACAATGTTAGGTAAAAAAGTATAAACTTTTTAACCTAACTCAAAAAGTTCTTTTTCGAATAGAGATGCTTATGAAAACACATACAGCCTTTCAAAATTGAGGAAAGCCATGGCCTCATATCCATCAGCCATTCGTTTGTAAATGCAAGCCAAGGTTCAAGCACTGTGCAAAGGATGTTTGTGTACAGCACATACACACAGAACATCTTCCTATCCCGTCCCACAGAGGGATCCTGCTTGGCTACAGTGCCTGCTTATAAAGAAGCATTCAATCTAGCAATAATAGCATAACAGGGCTGTTAGGTGTGCCGATTGCAGTCATAATTGGGACAGATGCAGCAAACGACTTCTGGAAACGCCTGTGCCTCATTTAATATCCGTCCTTGTACATATGGACAAGCAGAGAAGATGTGTCTGCATACCGTCATTTTTCTTGTACACTTGCAACTTCGATTGCTCTTTTTCCAACAACTGCTCACTTAGAACTTTCTTATAATCTGAGGTCTCCCTGGTCAGGCTTTTCACATTCTCTTCCGCTTGAATCCTTTCTAGCTCCAACCGACGTATTTTCTCCTGCAGGTTCTTCAGAGCGGAGAATATAGCTGATAGATAAATTAGATCCATCGGTTAGCAAGCGGGTACGATACAGGTGATGATGATGATGAGGGACTTAAGAGCACAAAAACTAAAAGTCAATGATATTTCAACTAACAAGCTATCAAAAATACAGGCTAGGGAATTCTGGGACTTGAAATTCCCACATCTTAGAGTTACCAGGTTTGAGTGAAAAACACTGGCCTAGGATAAAACACATTTTTCTCTGCCTCACTTATTTCACAAGGCCCATTAGAAAAATGATTTAAAACTATTCAACTTTTAAGGATGAACAAATTATTAAACACTTGGAGGGGGTATATTAGGGTAATTCATCAGTTTAATGTAATTCCGCATACTAAATTTTTCTCTAATTAAGTTTTTCTCCTGTCCTTTGCCCACTTTTTGGAGTTCATCGCTCGGCCTGAAAAAAAAAGTTGCATGCTTTCTAATATAACAACACTAATACCAAATGAAGATTGCCAGCTGTAATGTTTGAGCAACTGAGCCTCTGCAATTAAAGAGGAACAGAGAGCTGTAAACAAAATATGACTTCAGTTCTTCATGCTGTCAGTGCTGCAAGGAAGTAATTGTCAGTGATAATTAGCAGGAGCAGTTTTTCCTCTACAGCTTCCAACAGGGAGAGCCTTACTTGCGTAATCCTATTTTAATTGGGTTATCAAGAGCCCCCCCAAAAGGAAAGGTAATTAATGTCCTGGGGTATACTTGTAGGCAAAGATTCCCAAGTGCTTCCAGGTAAGGAACCTATAATTTCAAAGGCTGCTCTCCTTCACATTAGATCAAATGGGTAAATGATGAAAAATCTATGCAGCTTCCTGGAACTCGGGGCCCTCAAGGGACACACTCAAAATAGAGAAAGACGGAAATACGATCCTCCCACCAGATTCCAGCGCAAATGATAACTGGTAGAACATTTGCATTGCTCCCTTAGGGACCAGGAAACTCATCTAAATGACAACTTGTAAACCATCAAAGCAGGTTGAAGAGGAGAAATAAATTATAGGCTTTATGACAAAAGGGCAGTTAAGGCATATACCAGTCAAGGTTGTTGAGGGAAGAGAAAGCAGCAGCATTTATTTCTTTCCGCGTAAATGAATAAATCACAAACAACTCCCCTTATGCCTGAAAAGTTTTCGATCAGTGTGTACTACCTGGTCTAACATAAGCCGGTGAAACATGGACACGAACCTCACAATCAATACAAAAGCTAGAAGTGGAGCAAAGAGGCATGGAAAGGTACATGCTTGGCATTAAAAGACAAGATAGAAGGACCTGCACATGGATTAGAGAACTAAAGTATGCAGTGCCATCATGAAAGAGTAAAAGAATGGAAATGGAAATGGGCTGGTCACGAAGCAGGAACTGATGATGGCAGTAATGGACCAAGACAGTCATAGAATGGATCCCACTTAATTAAAATCATCCACGAAAGAGACCTAAAACAAGATGGATAGTGTTGTGGTTAGCCGGCAGCAGGTTGAGGAGAGCGAGGACTCAGATGAGGGGCCAGGGAGTGGACTGCTGGGAGTGGACTGCTGCCTTCAGAGATTGTGTAGCGATGAGGAGGTTCCCGAGGAGCCTGTGCCAAGTGCATGTGCGCACAGGATTGTTCGGAGAAAAGAGCAACTACAACAGCATGGGCGACTCAGGAGTAAGGCTGCAAGGTAATGGCCCCTCCTTCAAGAAGATAAAAGCCAGCTGTGAAGCGAATGTTCTTTGCAGGAAGCAAAGACGTTTTGAAACTCAGCCTCGTGGACATTACAGTATCTTAATTTGGTATTTGAAGACTCTTGTGCTGTGAAATATTTCTTATCTGTGATTTTTGGCAGTCTCATACAGTTTCGGCAAAGTTTGTGCTTATCCAAGTTAATTAGTTTGCAGCAGCCTTTTAACCAGGGATTCGTAAGACTGATTAAAATGTTTCTGTTCTCTTTGGTTATTGTTTGTCTTATTGGAAAAGTGTTTGGGTCAGAACAGATTGATGACATCAGCAAGTATGGCAGGCTCAATTGGCAAAAGAAACGCTCAGGAACGTATTGGTTGGAAACATGCAGAAGATGCCCTCATCCTGCAGTGCATAGACAATGGCTAAAATGAGATGATGATGATGAACTGAATAAATACTATAAAAACAGAATGTATTGATAAGTCTCAGAAAATTACACTAATCACGGAAATATTTTTGGAGACTATTTCTTTTCTTCCTCCCTGGATGTGAAGAGGTTATCACACTGGTTTACAATGCTATCCCAAGCAAACTAGCATGTCTCCCATTAACAATGCTAGATTCTTTATCTTTCCTTTTCAGAATAATGTAGATAGTGTTTTCTTATCTAAACCTAATGTCAGAGCTTATATACTGCAGTTACTACAAAAATAAGCATGAAAAAACAAAGACATTTTGACCAGCTGGGATTTTGTTCCATTTAATGCCATTTATTCATTTATGTCCTTCTAAACGAACAAAAGTACATGAATACTTTTATAAAATGTAATGACAGAACAGTGCAAAAACATTTTGCAGTGCAAAAACAGTGCAAAATGTAATGACAGAACAGTGCAAAAACACACAGGAAGTCTTATCAATAAGCAGAAATCACAGTCACTTTAGTTTACAGGAGGAAAAAGGAATAACTACCAGAGTTTGACAATACTTTTACTAGGACCAAATCAAAACGCAATACATCTCCATCAGACAAGATATTATTACAGTATATAAAAAAAACAAAAATTAGAGAAGCAGCAACAATATGGTATCAAAAGTTAGGACAGATGAATTCATTCATTATTTACAGTAATTAATATGCTGCCTTCTCCTAGGACTCTAGGCAGCTCACAATCAAATGAAAACCGTCCACACAAATACTTTTCCTCTCAGATTTGACTGCTTCCAACCAAGCTTGCACCCTCTGCCTCTCTGGTTCATTGAAGAGGAAAAGTCCTGGTGTCTTTTGGAAAGAGGTCATCTGCAACTTTGGAGGCAAGCTGTTCAAAGGGAGGAGACCTCTACCCAGAAGGGCTGTTTCCTAGTTCCCTCTTTGACTTTTCCCAAGGGAAGGAGTCTTATAAGGCCTGCCTTCTTGGAGACATTCTACCCAAGTTAGTCCAAAACTGTTAAGCAGTGGAACAATCTACCCAAGTTAGTCCAAAACTGTTAAGCAGTGGAACAATCTACCTTCTGAAGTTGTGGGTGCTCCATCACTGAAAGTTTTCAAGAAAAGACTGGACAAACATTTGTTCAGAATGGGATGAAGACTCCTGCATTGGGCGGTGATGTATTAGGCGGCCTCCATGGTCCTTTCCAATCCTATGATTCTAACAAGGCCCCAAACCTTACAGGGCTTTATGAGTCATAATCGACATCTTGAATTGGGCTTAGCAGTCTACTGAGAACCGGTGCAGCTGCCAAAAGGATTGGTGCTATTCTGTTATTAATAAAGGTAAATAATCAGTCCGTAGGTAGGAAGCTGCATCCCAAACTACATAAAGCTTCAGAACTTTCTTCAAGGAAAGTCCCATGCAGAATAAATTGCAGTAATCTAAGAGTGAGGTGACCAATAATATCAGATCTGCAATTTTATTGCCAGATGCTTAAGCCATGAGGTCTGTCATGCAAAGATGTTCCTGAGATAGAGGATGCAGGCTGAATGAAGAGACAATGTTAACTGTTTGTAATTTCTAAGGTAAAGGTTTCCCTCGCACATACGGGCTAGTCATTTCCGGCTCTATGGGGTGGTGCTCATCTCCGTTACAAAGCCGAAGAGCCAGAGCTGTCCGAAGACGTCTCTGTGGTCATGTGGCTGGCATAACTAAACGCCGAAGGAGCACGGAACGCTGTTACCTTCCCACCAAAGTGGTCCCTATTTTTCTACTTGCATTTTTACATGCTTTCGAACTGCTAAATTGGCAGAAGCTGGGGATTTGAACTGCAGAACTGCCGACCTTTCTGATCAACAAGCCACCGCTTTGTAATTTCTTCGTAATTTCTAATTATGCCCAATATTCAAAGACTCTGAAATTATGCGGTTACTTGGATTTGGGAAGGAAATTACAAGAAAGCAAATTTGAGGCCAGAAGGATACTCAGAGAAGGGAACCGGCAATGCCTATTCTGTTTATCTGGTGGATAAACACAGTGAAGCTGACATTCTGTGCCTACAAAATTGATGAACGCATTTCCTAAACCCCCACATTTTTTATTAATTTGTGCCACAAAACAACAACATAGCTTTCTAAATTTCACATAGCAGTTTTTAAAAAGGGAAGTGCACGTCAAGGCCTAGAAAGATAATACCATTTTCAAGATGATTTATTATTTGGAACCGGGATTACATATAAAATTAAAAAAAAAACTATTCCCGACAGCCCATTTCCTCTGGGGAGAAATATTACCTTTGCTGTTACTCTCTGGATAGGCAATTACCGGCTTGGCAGGGGATCGGCACAGGTCAGCATTAATGAACGGTTTGTGCCTAGGGTACTCGGAGAAGGAAGCTGCTGAAAGCCCATCAGTGTAGGATGTCGATGTGTAACTTGCATGGAGAATGCCCTGAAAGCAAGTTAAAAACGGTTAATTGTTCTCCTTGAAAAATACAGAGATATTATCCCATACTTGTCCATAATAGAAAGGAGGATAAGCTGAATCTTTAGAAGGCTGTAATGGTTTGAGTAGAGAAACCACTGTTGAGTTGATGAGGACTATCAATCCTTAAAACAGCCACTGTCACACTCCAGCAGACCAGAGACAGAGTCTATAACTTTTCCAGTGCTAAACTCCTCCTCCTCCTCCTCCTCCCTTTCTTCTTCCTCTCTCCCTCTCTCTCTCTCACACACACAAAATGCCTGAAATGTCCAAGATTTCTGTATTCTGTTCCAGGAAACGAATCAAGAATGATGGAATCACACCAATTCCATTGAATTTATGAGACTCCATCATTCGACACCCATTCAGACTTTGGGGGGGGGGGGGGGGGCGTGGGAATGCAGAGAAGAGCAATTAAGATGATTAAGGGCCTGGAGACTAATACATATGAAGAACGGTAGCAGGAATTGGATATGACTAGTCTAGAGAAAAGGACTAGGGGTGACGCGATAGTACAGGACTAGTATTTGAGGGGCTGCCACAAAGAAGAGGGGATCAAATTATTCTCCAAAGCACCAGAAGGCAAGGCAAGGAACAACGGATGGAAACTAATCAAGGAGAGAAGCAACCTAGGATTAAAGAGAAACTTCCTAACAGTGAGGAAAATTAACTAGTGGAAGAAGCTTGCTTTCAAAAATTGTAGGTTTCTTCGTTACTGGAGGTTTTTTAGAAGAGGCTAGATAGCCACATCTGAAATAGCATAGGGTCTCCTGCTTGAACCAGGCAGTTGGACTAGAAGAGCTCCAAGGTCCCTTCCAACTCTGTTCTGTAACTAACTAAACTCTCAAGATATTTGAGCATTTCTGCAAGACTTGGCAATGTCTGGAAGTTGAGCCACAGCAACTGGATTCCATTTCTTTTTCCTGTTGTTCGAACTTATCTAAGTAGCTTCTTCAATCTGAGCAACCCCATATACACTGCTCAAAAAAATAAAGGGAACACAAAAATAAGACATCCTAGATCTGAATGAATGAAATATTCTGATTAAATACTTTGATCATTACATAGTTGAATGTGCTGACAACAAAATCACACAAAAATTATCAATGGAAATCAAATTTAGCAACCCATGGAGGTCTGGATTTGGGGTTACACTCAAAATTAAAGTAGAAAAAAACACTACAGGCTGATCCAACTTTGATGTAATGTCCTTAAAACAAGTCAAAATGAGGCTCAGTAGTGTGTGTGGCCTCCATGTGCCTGTATGACCTCCCTACAATGCTTGGGCATGCTCCTGATGAGGTGGCAGATGGTCTCCTGAGGGATCTCCTCCCACACCTGGACTAAAGCATCCCCCAACTCCTGGACAGTCTGTGGTGTAACGTAGCGTTGGTGGATGGAGTGAGACATGATGTCCCAGATGTGCTCAATTGGATTCAGGTCTGGGGAACGGGCGGGCCAATCCATAGCATCAATGCCTTCATCTTGCAGGAACTGCTGACACACTCCAGCCACATGAGGTGTAGCATTGTCGTGCATTGGGAGGAACCCAGGGCCAACCGCACCAGCATATGAACTCATAAGGGTCTGAGGATCTCATCTTGGTACCTAATGGCAGTCAGGCTACCTCTGGCAAGCACATGGAGGGCTGTGCGGCCCCCTAAAGAAAAGTCACCCCACACCATTACTGACCCACTGCCAAACCGGTCATGCTGGAGTATGTTGCAGGCAGCAGAACGTTCTCCACGGCATCTCCAGACCGTCACGTCTGTCACATGTGCTCAGTGTGAACCTGCTTTCATCTGTGAAGAGCACAGGACGCCAGTGGCGAATTTGCCAATCTTGGTGTTCTCTGGCAAACGCCAAATGTCCTGCACGGTGTTGGGCTGTAAACACAACCCCCCCCTGTGGACGTCGGGCCCTCATACCACCCTCATGGAGTCTGTCTCTGACCGTTTGAGCAGCCTCATGCACATTTATGGCCTGCTGGAGGTCATTTTGCAAGGCTCTGGCAGTGCTCCTCCTGTCCCTCCTTGCACAAAGGCGGAGGTAGCGGTCCTGATGCTGGGTTGTTGCCCTCCTACGGCCTCCTCCACGTCTCCTGATGTACTGGCCTGTCTCCTGATACTATGCTGACAGACACAGCAAACCTTCTTGCCACAGCTCGCATTGATGTGCCATCCTGGATGAGCTGCACTACCTGAGCCACTTGTGTGGGTTGTAGACTCCGTCTCATGCTACCCCTAGAGTGAAAGCACCGCCAGCATTCAAAAGTGACCAAACCATCAACCAGAAAGCATAGGAAATGAGAAGTGGTCTGTGGTCACCACCTGCAGAACCACTACTTTATTGGGGATGACTTGCTACCTACCTCTGCTTTCCACCTGTTGTCTATTCCATTTGCACAACAGCATGTGAAATTGATTGTCAATCAGTGTTGCTACCTAAGTGGACAGTTTGATTTCACAGAAGTGTGATTGACTTGGAGTTACATTGTGTTGTTTAAGTGTTCCCTTTATTTTTTTGAGCAGTGTATTTCCTCCAGAGTGGTTTCAGTTCTCACCTACCCTAAATAGGCTCATTAGATGAGTAGGCAGAGAGTCATTGGGATGTAAATGTTCCAGCTGATAAATCTTTCCCTTATTTGTGGGTTTTTAAGTGTGACCTTCTTGGTGGAGGATTCCCTCAAAAGGGGTGGAGTCCTCAGACACAACTTATCTCCCATTTTTTATACTGCTCTTTCATCAGTACACAGGAAGATTAAGACCACTTCACAGACTCACCAGGAAGACCACATTTGACCAGGATCTAAGGAAAAGATTTAGCAGTTGCAATATTTAGATCCCAATTACTCTCTGCCCACTCATCTAATGAGCCTATTCAGGTTATGTGAGAAATGAAACCACCCTGGAGGACATATATATGGTGTTCTCCCAACCAACCGGCTCAGCCTGAAGAATCTACTTGGATAAGCAGTGAAATATTTCAAATCGAAAAAGAAAAGAACTCCAGTTGCCATGACTCAACTTTCAGGCAACTCTACCTGGGTGACTAAGAATCTTCATCAACAAGATTTGGCAATATCAGCCACTTTTTAGCGGCAATCTTTTCTTAGACAAGGGGAAACATTATGGCAGACCCTAAGCCAAGGATAGAATTGAAAAAAAAAATAGAAATAGAAATTTCTACTAGCAGATATTCACACCAATCTGCAGTTGAAAGCAAGGTTATGAACAGATACTATCACGAAATATCCAATCATAATATCTAAATAATACATATCTATTCCACTAGCTAAGTATCTATGGAGATTCTCAGTCATCCAGATCATGGTTGTCCCAAAGGTGCTTTTTCAACTGGACTTCCTTTGTTTTTTTCCTTGAAGATGTGTCACTTCTCATCCAAGAAGCTGAACTGAGGAATGAAGAAGCTTCTTGGACGAAAAGCAAAATGTCTTCAAGGAAAAACAAAGAAAGCCCAGTTGCCTCTTGAAAAAGCACCTTTGGGTATTCCACTAGCTGCAGTAATCCGTGGGAAATCAGAATGCAGGTTTGATGCAGCTAAAAAAACCTTGCTAGCAGGGAGAATGCCTGTCATTTTTGAAATGAATCTGCTCATTGCTGGCAGGTCAGCAGTCCACAAAGAAATGTTGTTCTAAGAAGGCAAAAGTAGATGACTCACAAAGAGCAAACTTGAAAGTAAATCCAGAAAGTAAACCAGAAAGTAAATCCTTAATTCAGCATGAAGCTTATTAAGTGACCTTAAGTCTTGCTACTGTTCCTGAGCAGTTCAATATACTCTTGAGCATTTATTGAAGAGGAATGAAAGAAGGAGTAATATTTCAGCCAGTTTGGTCTAGTGCAAGAGCCTTCCAACTTGGCAAGTTTAAGACTTGTGGACTTCAACTCCCAGAATTCCTGAATTAACATGACAAGAGGAGGAATTCTGGGAGTTGAAGTCCACAAGTCTTAAAACTGTCAAGTTTGAAGACTCCTGGTTAAAGCACCAGGCTCGAACTTGTCAGATCTAGTCTCATTTTGGCATGAAAGCAAGCAGGGTGATTTTGGGTCACTCCCTCTCTCTCAGTCCATCCCACTCCACAGGGGTGTTGTGGAGAAAATAGGAGGAGGAAGGAATATTAGGTATTGTTCATCACCTTATTTATAAAAATAATAAAGGTGAGATAATAAAATAAACAAGCAAAGCAAGCAAGCCTGGGGCTTCTTGAAAGAAACATGGTATAAAATATTTATAATGTAAAACCATATTATCCACCTGTCTGCTTGGAAATAACCAACAACTTTGGTTTACTTCCACAAAGAGGCTGTAAGCTTCCAAAGAAACATGACTAGAAATGGATTCAATATAGCCAAGGCAGGTTCTTGTTATATGCAGCTTTCATTATTATTTGTTCTTCTCTCTCCTGCCTCCTACACATCCTACCGGAATGGTTTAGTCCACGTGACATGGGCTGGGATATGAATCTTTTGTGGCTTACTGTATTGCACACCTACGACAACTTGGGTCTAAATTAAGTGACAAATGTTTATTTGAAATAACTTTCTCAGCTCGTTCCTATGCAACATTATGATTGCGTTACTCTTTTGGAGCACTCAGAGCTGTTCTACACTGAAAAAGTAGAACTTAGGAAGTAAACTAGAGATACTCCTAAAAATTATGCATTCAAACAAAAGCACTCAAATTTTGAAAAGTTAAAAGGCAATGCAAAGATAACAATGTGATACGGGGAGACAAACAATTGTCCATTCAATGCTCCAAGCTCACAAATATTAAGATAAGTCATTAAGAATTTAGTTTGAAATAAGTATCTTTTTTATCTCTTGGGGGAGGGGCAGTTGCTAAGCAACTCAACACAACTCTAAATATATTTCAAATTTGTCCCTGAATATATAAATCATACAGAATTATTTGAAAAACACCCTCTGTGGAATTCCCAAATGGTTAAATATTGTTTTAGCAAAGTAGCAACTGCAGAATAATATTGTCTCCCCAAAGACAGTATAAAAAGCTCCCAAGATGCTTCTTTAAAACATTATAAAAATGCTGCAATTTCTAAATTTCTATTTTTCCTTACATAGATTCAAAACATTCAAGAGCGCATAGGAAACATCCTGCCAAGATCTGAAACTAACCGAAGGCCAGTGGTAATGTTATACTTAAATATTACAGTACTGTACTCTAATCCATAATACTGTTTATTTTCGGCTTTGCATGTTGAGATAACCCAGCCAGCACATTTTATAAACCATTACAAACATTTACATTTTAAAACTGCTCTTCTCCAGACAGATTACAAATGTTGTAAAAGCATTACAAGTTTCTAAAACCATTTAAGAGGAAATATAATGCAATGCAATGAATAGATAAGAGAAAACTATTGTGGGCTGCAGAAATCTGGATAATTAGATAAAAAAGAGAGAGATTCAGAAAGCTTTGTAATCTTCTAGTCACAAGAAATTTTGCACTCAGGATATGGCAATTCTAAGGAAATGAAATAATCCTACTCCTATGTAGGCTGGTTGATTTAATTTAAATTGAACAGAAGATAAAATGGTAAAAATACCTGGAACAAAATACATTTTGCTGCCTGATGCCAGAGACTTCATGCCTTTTGAGGATGGATAGACAAGCCTTGAGCAGACACATAACAGAGGTGGTGAAATTCCCTGAGAAATTTTGTCCCCAATAATGCACAAAGCCAGCCTTAGTCAATCTTATAGGAGTTTATAGAAGAGGCAGTTGTTAGAATTTCTAGAATTACAGTAAATATATACATGTAGTAAACTTCTATGAAGAATCTGAGTTATCCAGGTCACAGTTGCCCCAAAGGCGCTTTTTCAAAAGGCAACTGGACTTTTTTTTGGTTTTCCTGTAAGATGTTTTGCTTCTCACACAAGAAGCTTCTTCAGCTCAGCTTCAGAACTGAGGAAGCTTTTTGGATAAGGAGCAAAACATTTTCAAGCAAAACAAAGAAAGTCCAGTTGTCTTTTTTGAAAAAGCGCCTTTGGGACATGCAGTAAACCTGTGAGTTTTCATGGCAAGAAAAGGAAGGAATTGGTACCTTTTAAGGCAAATATAAATAAATCAATGAGATGGGTAAACGGATGGATAATGGAATGTGTGTGTGTGTGTACACACACACACACATATATGAATGAGAGAAAGAAAATGAATGAGAAAGAAAAAAGAAAGGAAAGAAGAAAACAAGAAAGGAAGATCCATGCAGGGAAAGTAGATAAAGAAGATAATTTCATTGGGGGGCCTTCTCAGCAACAGGCAAGGTGTGTGTGTGTGTGTGTGTAATGGGTTTATTTATATTTGTCTTAGGTGTGTCACATAGAATACTTTATTGGCCAAGTGTGATTGGACACACCAGGAATTTGTCTTGGTGTAAATACTCTCAGTATACATAAAAGAAAAGATACATTCGTTAAGAGTTGAGAATCATAAGGTACAACACCTAATGATAGTCATAGGGTACAATAAGCAAGCAATCATACATGCATACACAACCCCCCTTGCCTGTTGCAGACAAGCCTCCAAATGAAATTATCTTCTTTCCCTATCTACCTTCCCTGCAGCCCAAGGAGATGAGCCTGAGAAATAGACAGGGGCTCCCAGGATCAGCCCAAACTGCAGAGACCTCGAAAGGGAGACCACCAGGAAATGCCCACGGTTGTTGGCTAGAAGCAGCACCCCAGAATAGTCCATTTCCCCCCAGCAACTGAGCTCAATTTTATTTGAATGGCTTATGTTCATAATTTTAATTGAGGCCACTAACAGCTTCCCTCCCGCCCCCCAAATTGTTTTTTCTTAAAGCAAGATCAAATAAATTGCTTAAGTTCGGGCTCATTTTAACTATATCCCACCTCACCCACCAGTCCATGCTACATGGAGAGGGCGAGAATACAAGTGAAACTCCCGAAGTTAAGGAATATAGAGAGCAGCCTAACGGAAAACGCGTCTCTGGGCATGTGCAGAGCGCATATTGTCCCCCTTCCCGAGGAGGTACACTCGGGCCTCCACGGACGGAGGGACGGTCTATGAGTGCCACCCCATATACTGGAAATAAGGTCCCTAGCAGGGCCGCCGTCGCGGCTTCGCCTCCCTCCGGCTCACCGTGTGCTCAGGGGCTTCGGCCACCGCCATGTCGTAAATAGGCGGTCGTGCCGGGTGCATGTCCCTTTAAGGCCAGCAGCAGCTCCCGCCTCCTCCCTCCGGCCTTCCAGCTGCCAACAAGGTAGCTCTATTGAGTGACATAGCAACCGGCCAACCACGACGCGACTCCTTCTCTCTCCTCCCCCCGCACCAACGCATCCGGCTCGTTGCCTCTTACGGCACGCTTCCGTCACAGAGTGGAGACGGCGATTGACGCGACAAGCAGCCAATAGGAATAGGCGATGGGACTTAGAGGCGGTGGTTCTTAAGCTCAACCTGGATTTTCGACGCTGGGAACGTATTAGTAGTGAAGCCAATTGTACAGTCAGTACGGCGTGGGTGAAGAGTGGTTTTTTCTAGCTGTTGGCAGAGAACCGAGAGGAAGAAAAGGCAGGACGCATCTCTGCTCTCTTCTGCGCAAGCGCAGCCATGAGACGGTCGGAAGGAAAAAGCCGTCCAAGCTTCAGAAGAGCGCCACGGAGGACCAATGAAAGAGCGCGCGCGCTCCGGGGCCCGTTCGGTTTCCTGATTGGTGGGGGGGTCGGGTGTGACGACACGCGCGAGGCGGGCGGGCAGCGACGCGCGTCCCTCCGTCCCGCCCCGCCATTGGGCAGCGAGGTTTGAAAGGAAGTATTGCCGCGCGGCTCGGATTGGACGAGGAGGCGGGCCCGCCTATCGGAGGCGTTCATTCGCTCCTTCGCTCGCGCTCTCCCTGTGTTTGTGTGAGAAGGAGGGAGAAGAGGAGGGGAAGGAGAGAGAGAGAGAGAGAGGGAAAAAAAACGGGTTCGGGTCCCGCGGCTGACACAAGGAAGAGGCGCGGCCTATCGACGCCGGGAAGCGGCCGCGTCGGCGAGGATCGGAGCGCGGTTTGTGTGGCTTGGATTTCCTCTCGGGCGGGCTGGCGGCCGGCCGGCCGTGGCTCCCTTTAGACCGAGAGGAAGGCGGATGGCGGCAACATCCGGGGCTTCTGGGGCGGCGTCGGCGGCGGGCGCGGGATCCGGCGCGGCCCCGGCTCTCTACGCCTGCACCAAGTGCAACCAGCGCTACCCTTTCGAGGAGCTCTCCCAGGGACAGCAGTTCTGCAAGGTGCCGCTTCCGAGGGGACGAGGGCGGAGGCGGCGGGAGGAAGGAAGTGAAGGGAGGGACGGTTGCGTGGGCGGCTGCGACCGGCCAGGCGGCTTTTGGATTGGAGGCTTTGGAAGAAAGGCTCTCGCCCGGTCGGAGCAAACCTTTGGCCTTTCATTATATGACGGTTTCTTTTGCAGATAAAAATGATAACACGCGCTCGTACATTCACACACTCATACTCATACACGTGTTTGTGTGTTCATGGCTTCACACACAGCCACATAGGAGTGAAAATAACCCAAGTTCGTTTTTTCTATAAATTATTCCACGGCAGAAACCAAAATGGTTACTTAAACTCTTGGCATCATGAAGTATAAAAGAGTCATCAGAAGGAAAATACAATTGGTAGTAATATTAGGGCAACACTGTCCTACATTCACACACACCCACATAGGAATGAAAATAACCCAAGTTTGCTTTTTTTAATAAGTTGTTCAGCCAAGATGGTTACTTAAACTAAACTCCATTAAATGTAAAAAAAAAAAACTCAGAAGAAAAATACCAATTAGTAATATTAGGGCAGCATACTTGTACATTTGCATGTACATTTACATACACACTCATATACTTTCACACATCTGTTTGTTCATATGTACACCCACACCCAAATAGTGAAAATAACCCAAGTTTGTTTCTTCCATCCATTCTTCAGCAGCAGAACCAAGATGGTTACTTAAACTCTGACACCATGAAGTATTAAAAAAAAAAGTCATCAGGAGGAAAATAGTAATAATATTAGGGCAACACTCGTACATTCCCATGTACACACATGGTGTTAGTAATAATAATAGGGCAGAAGGCTTTGAGGCTTTTATACTGTACTAATAGGCCGGACTCCCTTTTTCTCTCCTTAGAACAGAGATGGGGAACTGTGGCCTTTTTATGACTTGTGGACTTCAATTCCCAGCATAGCTGGCTCAGGAATTCTGGGAGTTGAAGTCCACAAGTCATTAAAAAAAGCCCAACATTCTCCCCATCCCATAGAAACTTACAAAATCAGATCCTGTGCTGTGTTATCGGCTGAATTGCACTTTGTTAGCCATGGATGGGAAAATGCACAATGTTTCTATTACTAGATTTTGGGAGTGGGAGAACAAGAGGTACTGATATCTCTTGTTTGTATAAAGGTTGTGCTTTCAACCTGACATTTAAAACATAAATTCACTGCTCCTTAGATATTTGAAATTGAAAGAATCAGTTGTATGCATGTAAAACACCAAATGTTGATTGGATTTTAGCGAGGAGGAGACATCTGTTTTCTCTTAAAAAGAAAAGCTGTGCTCTTTTATGATATAAACATTCCTAGGCAGTTACAGAATCATTACAGAAGGTTAGATGTACAGTAGTTGACACATCCCAAGTCATTTAATTTCAGGAATTCATAATATCAAAACAAAGCAATTTTAAAAAATGGAAAATTTCAAAAATGCCAAAAATGGTTGTGGTTTTCTGTCTGCATCTGTATTGTCTGTGCTTTCTGTCTGCATCTGTATTGTCTGTGCTTTCTTATGTAACAGCCTGTATATATATATATATATTGTATATATATATATATATTGTATATGTATATGTGTGTGTGTGTGTGTGTGTATATATATATATATATATATGGCATTCAGCTTTGTTCGGGTATTTTCCCACGTCATAGTAGTTG